AAAACAAAACTTTCAAAACCATTGATCTTTTCAAATGTAATAACCCCTCACTATAAAACCCGTATAAGTTTCTCATAAAATAATACTGTAAATATATATGAAACCTATACTCGAGAATAACCAAACCATGTGTATGCCATGACAATTATCTCAATCACGAATAAGTAAGCCAGGTGAATTGCACTAATATAAAGTGACATATCAGCCGGAATCACCTAACGTGACCTGTACGGCTGAATCAATAACTCAACAATCAAATCAAATCTTGCACACGAGTTGGAACCACCTATATGGTCTGTACGACAGGCTAGGTGTACATAAGTACACTCAAGTGCTACGATCACGTGAAGGCTGTGCGAAGTATCGCAAGTCACCTACGAGTTGGAACCACCTAATGTGGTCTATACGACAGGTTGGCACCTGCCTTGGATCCAAGGTGAGCGTATGGTGCAAGAGGTAAACGATCACGTGAAGGCTAGGCCCTACCCTCGGTCGGAGCACTAATGCATACGACATGGCATTTAAAACGTAAAAACCATTTAAACAGATTCTGGGAAACATAAGGCATATATATATATATATAAATCAAAAGCCCACCCACTGGTATGTTGCCGGGTCGTAACCCCCAAGTCTTGCCTGGCTGTGCTCGTCCTCCGGAAACGTCTCACCTATATGTGAAACAACTATTTTAATGTTATTTTAAAGCACATAACCATCACTATGAAATAACTGCTCATACGTTGCTTAATTAGGGTGTTTGAATATACTATTGTGGCCTACTCAACACCCCGAGCATCCCCATATTTTTACAATAATTTTCCGACGTCCCACGCGCCCTCACGTGCCGGCCACGCGCAGGCACGTGCCTAGCACGCTGACGGTAACCCTAACGCCGTTAAGAATAGAATAATATTTCGTTAAAAAAATAGAATATTCCGTTAAATATACCTGACACCGTTAAGAATATTCCGTCAAATTTGATGGAATATGCTCTGTCTTCTTCGGTGGTTCGTTGGATTTTGTCGCCGGCTACCGTCTGCATCGCCGGAAAACTGGAAAATTCTTAAACCTTAATATCTTCTTCGTTTTTCAACCAAATTTCATGAAAATTATACCAAAATGAAGCTTTAACTGAATAGAACATGTCCTTACTTGTTTAGAGTCCTAAAACTAACGGTATATGGTCGGAAAATTCTTCGATAGTCCGGCCAAAACTACAACTTAATAAACCCGAGTGTCCCAACATCAAAACTGCTCTAAAATTGTTCCAAAGTGCTAGTGGAGCAAGACTAGTACCTTATTAAGTCCCAAAACTAGCTAAAACCCTTGCGATCATGTTGGAGAAAATTACACCCCTCGCCGAAGCTTATGGAGTCTCGAGTTTTCGAAGTCAAACCACCTAACATAAGGTATCCCCGTGTTCTAGGGTTTGAGAAGAGTAAGAATCTGGAAACACCAAGTTGGATCCGTAGTGTTTTGGTTTAGTTTGAGGGTGAATGCTCTCGGTTGTACAAACGGGGAAGAAAATTCGAAAAAGAGGGAGAGGATGCAGGTTGCACGTGTGCATGTATGTGTGGCCACGGGTTGGCCATATTAAAATGGTCTCAAGCCCTAATTGGGCTACATGCTTTGGGTTAAAGCAATTAAACTCAACCCAATTCCTTTACAACATCTACACTACATACCCGACTCGACCCTAATTTGCATCCACATTTGTAACATCGAATATCACTTCTCACGTCGATGGAAAAATGATTGAAGACTATATAATTACATCCACATCACACGGCCCACAAGGGCAAAATAGTCCTTTCAGCGCACTCGAGGATAAAATATATTGTAATTCGGGACGGGTCGTCACAATAAGAGCCTAATGAAAAAAAATATTAGTACATTACTACAAAATATCAAATATTCAAAATGAAAGGAGTTATGTTTCAAGGTTGAGGAACTTTGCACCTTTTTTTTTTTTTTTTTTTTTTTTTAACAATACGACCCTTAAATTTTCATCAATCACCAAGGAAAGAGGTATTGGACCTAACGGTAACGATTTAATCTCACTTACGTAAGTGAGATTAAACCTACGGCTATTATTTAAGTAAGGTTATTTTAATAGTATTTTTAATTAATAGAAGTGTGAAAAATATTTTTAAAAAAAAAAAAAATATATATATATATATATATATATATATATAAACGCTCGTAATGACAAACTTTACAACTTTCATGAATGGATCAACTCTAAAATTAATTTGCCACTCTAATCAGATAAACTATAAATCTAAATTTAACTGTTGATGGTCGTTTACATTTACGCTCCATTCTTCTCACCAAATTTTATTTTTTGTAAACATGATCTTTTAGAGGAAGTAGGAAGATGAACAATTCGAATAGTTGATATTACGTTCAACGTTTTACTGTTAGTGAAAATATTGCTTGGAGTTTATAAAGTCTTTAGAAACTATTTAATATCGACTCATATTTTAGTTAATCGTAAACATCAGAACGGGATATCAACAATCTAGATCATCAATTTTTCTAGATTTGCAAAAAGATCACATTTTCAAAAAAGAAAATCTAAAAAATGAAATTTGGTGAGAAGAATAAATTGTAAATGACAATGGACGGTTAAAGTTAAATCTAAGGTTTATGGATTATAAGGCTGGATTTCGGAGTTGACCACTTCATAAAAGTTGTAAAGCTTATTGGTGATTGCATTTTTTTTTAACATTTTTCACAACGTCAACAATAATTATTATGAATTTTATTAATTTTGCACTCAAATAAAAAAACATTATCCATGAGGTTTGGAGGGTTTTAAAAATATAAACGACGATGTAACCATCATCTAAGCATAGCTGATGCAATCATCAACGTTTATATATATTATGTTGATGCACAAAATCAGGTCGATCTTGGACCAACGTAAATCCAACCGTAAATCATACATACACACAAGAACACAATGATATTCGTGATTTACCCCAAGTTGGGATTACATCCACACTGGTGTTGATATAGTTTCACTATATAAAATGAGAGTTACATTGTTGTTGCTAGAGAGGCTAGGGTTTACCCTCCTCTAAAGTGATGGTAAAGGATCCCTTTTATAAAACAAGGGTTTCTCTCCCCTTCTACACACATCATGGCCTATGTAGTAACGCCTAAATATTGAGGCCCAATTTATGGTACAACATATTCTTTCACATTTTTCTCACTTGTGCATTAATGATTATGCGTTTTTATTTATTTTGAAAACTCTTAAAAATATTATTCAAAAGGATTTGTATGTTTTTAAAAATTTCAAATAACGATGTACCCGTTCTTAAAGCATAAAGAATGCCATCACGAACGTTTGTATATGTTTTCACATTTTTCGCACTTGTAAATTAATTAGGGTAAATTACATTTTATCCCATCAAGTTTAAGGTCAATTGCAACCTCATACAACATTTTTAATTTCATACATTAACTTATATTTTTTTTCAATTTCATACATCCGTTAAAAATTCAGTTAAGTTAACTGTTAAGGCAAATATAGGGTTTACATTTGTGCTAACGTATCTACCAACTTTCCACCATGTGAATAAAAAATAATAAAAAAAGATTAGTTAATAAAAAATCAAATTTTTTGTAATTAAAAACATCAAGGAACGAGGGTTGTCAATATCCACCTTGTCGAATGGAATCAAGGCTTTGGGGCTGAAGCGGGTGGGGCCCCATAGCCAAATTTGCCTCTTGCCCTACTGAATCATGTCGAGATCGAACTTAGGAGTGACGGAACAGACCGAGTTGCGACGTGAATTATGAGATCGTGGGTTCTGGTGGTGGTGATTGGAAGCGTTAGGAGTGTGAACTAATGTAGAGGATTGGGTTATTGGGAACGAAGATTGCCAAAAAATAAATAATCTGCCCAAATCCTCTTTTCAAATTTTCAAGTTTTTAATTACAAAAAAAATTGGTTTTTTTATTAACTAATCTTTTTTTATTATTTTTTATTCACATGATGCAAAGTTGGCAACCATGTCAGCACAAATGTAGACCTCATATTTGTGACATCATCATTTAACGGTTAACTTAACAGATTTTTTAACAGAGTTATGAAATTGAAAAAAATATTAAGTTAATGTATGAAATTGAAATATTTTAAAGATATTGTGTGATGTTGCAATTGATCTGAACTTGAGGGGTAAAATGCAATGGGTTTGGTATTTCTACTTGGTATTTTTTTAATGTATGTTATAATTTTTTTAATCTCACTTTTAAGAAGATAAAACATTTATGAGTGTGACTAAATAAGAGAGAGTAAAAAATCATGATTAGGTCGTTGAGTCTAAAATTGAAAGTCTGTCTTTTTGTTTATACTTGTTGATTTGAATTTTGGACAAAAGATCAAGTAAAATTTTTCTCAATAGTAATAATAAGAAACTCCCATAGTGAAAATAAACAAATAAAATTTAACTTTTTTTTTTTTTAACTTATATAGAATATTATACATATTCAATATACAATACATACACTGCGGCTATTGAATTTTGTAGTAAGCTTTTTAGTAGTTTAAAATGAGAGAGGATCTTCGTCGGATCCTCTTTGTGAGAATCCTGAAAATCCTCAAATTACATCTGTTCATCGTACAATAAAAAATTGTTGTAATTTTTTTATTTAAAATTGAATATAAACAGTACATAACGAAAACTGACCGCACGATGTACAATGAACGAATATGATTGGAGGATCCCTGGAATCCTCACAAAGAGGATCCGGCGAGGATCCCCACTTGTTTAAAATTATCAAAATAACTTTTTTCTTAACGGGTCGAAACAGGTTACCCATGGCTATGGGTTATTCTCGTGTAAACCTATTAATGACTCGTTCTTAACAGGTTCTTATCGAGTGATCCAATAATAATCCGCTTAGTTATTGTATTGATCATAATCTGTTATTTTTGTGCTATTTTTACGTGGCGTTAACTGATTGCGTAAGAAATTTGCCCCGTCACTTTTTCTCAAAAATAAAAAATAAAACCAAGAAAAACGGAAGAAAAAAAAGACAGAGAGGGCTGAGAAATCACAAAAACAGAGATTGTGATTGTCAACTGTGAAGGTCGTTGTTGCTTCTTCGTCCTTCACTGAGAAGATGAACGGCGGTCCATCTGGTTTCCGTGCGTACATTCACTTCCCCAAATTGCTTTGAACCATCTTCATATGTTATGTATCCTTCTACTCTCGATTCTCTTTGTGTTGAATGACCCAGAAGCTTTCTTGTTTATTCATCGCAGACAATGCTCCTATTACCAGAGCCTTCGTCGTTGCCAGCGGTCTCTTCACCGTCTTCTTTGGGATCCAGGGCCGTTCGAGCAAGCTTGGATTGTCTTATCTGGTGCTCTTTTTCTCCACTTTTTAATAATTTTTAAGGTTTTTGCGACGATTTTTTTTGTTATTGATGTTAAGTATTGACGAATTACTGCATTTTAAGATGTAATTGCAGGTGGGTTTTGTGCCAAAATTGTTTCTTTTTTAGTTTTAATTTACTTTGATGTTAAATGTTTTGTTGAATTTGGGTTTTGTTTCCTGTGTAAGTCATTGTTGCTATTTCATCAGCATCATTCTTCAGCATGTTATGGTCATCATTATAGTTTTTCGGCGGCTCGTAATTGTGTAGTTAAATCCCTGTGTGTGTGTGAGTGTGCATGTGTGTAGGACACTTTAGTTATTCATCAGTATTAGACATCTAGTCAGCTAGATGTTGATTTTCGGTGGTTCGCTGTGGTTGGTATGGAGATACCTCAGACTGGAATTGATTGTTGTCTGGTTAACAGATTTTTCTAATTTCCGTGTGCTTACTTTCAGTTTGGGTTCACTTGCCAGTCAGATTTGGATATTGATTTTCCACTCTTCTGTCTGGACAACTCAATATGAGGTTGGAAACCTAAAATGTGTCTTGCCCTGCTATTTCTGGATTAGTTTGAAGAAACAATGGGGATTGGACATTGGGCTTGAACTCTATTGTGATGCTAAGCTACTTAATAATTTCGTCTTATATAATATCAAGGTATCATGAAACCAGAATTTGTCTAGATGTTTGAGGATGAATTGAATTGGGGTTGCGTACGCAACTTTAGTTTTGGATGAACTCTCCCTTCTTCCTAGAAATTGGAAAATACTACAATTTGAGGATTCGGGAGATTATGGAGATCGCTACTGAGTTATGGCATTTTAACTCTCCTATCATGCAGGTCTTCTTGTACGTTAGAGGTGGGTGCTACTCGTTGGATTTAATATTGCCTGGCCTCAACAAAGAACCCACCCTAATGTTCAGTTCTCCTGTAACCCCTACTAAACATATATAACCCATAGATTTGTAGAACAAGACTGAACAACCAGTGTTTGTTTGGGATTGGTCTATCAAGGTGAGAGAAATTTTGAAACTGGTCAATTAACTCCACCCTAGATATAAAATAGAGAGATGTTTATGTTGTGTCTGGATTCTAAAATGAAATTAGTCTACACAATTTTTTCTCCCAAGGAGAAATTGGCCTTAGGCTTGGTTAATTTAATCAATGTCTGGACCAGCAACATAGTTTCTTTTGGTTCCTTAATTTTACCAAATACCCTCCTAATAACCTGTTTCTGTTTGTGATCTAACTTCTTGAGGGTGATTACATCTCGAGTTGAAAATCCACAAAGCATTTGGATTAGTAGATGAAACCAAACTACTGTTATTCAGCTTGGTTGATTGTGTAGAATAAAAATCCCCAATCCTAATTTTTTTAGTTAGTGAGAGGTGCTAGGATGCCGACCCCACTTAGTGGGATAAGGCTTTGTTGTTGTTGTTGTTGTTGTTGTGAAAGGCGCTAGGAACTCTTGAATGAATTGGATTCTGACCAAATTATTTTTGTCTTTTTTTGTCAGGACATATTCGGGAAGTTTCGCCTTTGGAAGTTAATTGTGTCAGTGTTTGCCTTTTCATCTACACCAGAACTGATGTTTGGGCTGTATCTGCTATACTACTTCAGGGTCTTTGAGAGACAGATAGGTTCCAATAAATACTCAGTGAGTAATCTGTTAGCGTAAAATATTCACTGACATCTCTGCTCATACTTTTTTCAGAATACCTGTGTCAGATGTTATATTATCGATATCTTGTGCCTAAATAAAAGATTAATCTGGTTCCATGGTTTGTAATTTGTATTACACATCTTTCAGAAGTTTGCCAGTTTGGATGAGTTATAACTTATCAAAAACTATGAAGGGTTTGATTGGATTTTGTGAAGGCACCAGAATGGTACAAACCTAAAAAATAATTTGTTGAAGAGATTAAAATCACAATACACAACATGTGGACCAGAGATCCACCAACAGAATGGTACAAACCTAAAAACAATCCAAAATACATCTTTACATTGTAATACAATGCTAACGAAAAACTATCCGACAGCAGCGCTGCCAATCTACTAAATTACAGAAGTGAAAGATCCCTAAAAGCTGGCAAAAAAGAACCTGTAAGGATGCCCATAAACTCACCTTTTAGACTACATCCCTTCCATAAATATAAAAAGTTCTTCTATTTCTCTTATCCAAATTACCCAAAATTAGTTATCACAGTACAATTCCAAAATATTCTTGCATTCCACCACCAAAAGACAAGTATTTTTACAAAGAATGCTTGTAGGTGACTGGGAATAGCCAAGTTAAACCCCTTCATATTTTACACTACCAACAAAATAAAGGAAGCTTTTAAGAAACAGCAAAAGCAAAGGGGAGCATCAAGCCAAGTGCATCACTTTCAATATAGTCTTATGAACCAATGAAAGGAAGGGAGATTCCAAGAATTGAGTTGTGACTTGACAGTTTATATATTATTGCCACAACAGGGATATGGCTTCCATACTCCATCACAGCTGCTACACCACTTCCTAACATCTTAGATTCCACTAAGACAATCAAGATCATTCAACGTTTACGAGAGCACAGCTTTAGTTATTTTGATTTCTGCCCAACAACATTGTAATATTCTATGTATGTGTCTGTTGTTGGTAGTGGTCATACCATAACCACCATACACCTCATTGCCACCTTTACTTCCATTGTTACATCATTGTTCATGGTTGACATTTGTACCATCACAAAAATGCAGCCGCATACAATCACATTCTTTAGTGAACCAAATATGTCAAGGGTTTGGTGGCTGGGACATTGGACACTTGTTTTACCACTAGTTCCAGTGAATGGAGGAGAAAATTTAATCTGAACCCAAACTAATATGGGATGGCCTAGATACATAGTTGTGTGTGGCGGGTGTACTGAGGTGCATTAATAACATGATATATTACAGGCTATCTTATATAACTCAAGTGGGCCACGTCCACTCCCCCGACCACACACAAAATGAAAAGTACTTCAAGTAAATAATGTATGACTTGTTTGTTAATTGATAATGTTGTCTCACTTCCACCTTTCGACAATATAAAATACAATGCAGAATGCAATTGATTTTTTTGTTTTTTGCTATTATCTGTTGATTTTACTGTAATAATCAGTATACCTTGATTGTGCAGGTGTTCATATTGTACTCTGTGACGGTATCTTTACTATTTGAGATTCTTGCTCTAGCAATCCTTAAAGGTGTGGATAGTTTTTTCTTTTTTACATTCTTTTTCTTTGTAAATTAAGTTTTATGTCATTATTTTGCCTTTTATTTATTTTCCCGACTTCATGCCGTTGGTCCTTTGTTAGCTTGTTTACTTGCATGCAGTTGTCTATTTGTACAGGACAGTACTTTGTCTATTTTGGAAAATCTCAAGCCTCTTAGAAATCATTAGTGAAAAATTGACTATGGCAAGATCTATTTTAAACCATCTTTCTTTCTATAAGAGCATAAGAGCAGTTGTTTTTATGATGGTCATTGAGGTTTGTGTAATCTGAACCCTTCTAATGCAAACCTGTCTTGTAGTGGGCCATGGATACCTCTATGCCATGTTTGTTGCGTTTCCAAACCTGAGTTTCTCAATTCCAAATCCGCCAATTGGAAAACAGGAATCTATGATATTTTACAGTGATATTTTGGATGAATAGGTAGTTGTCATCTTCCTTTCTACGACAATAGTTAGTGCAACCCTGGATATCATGGCTTCTTGATATGGGTTGTGGCAGCATCAGTGCTTGATGAAATCACAATCATATCCTACTGCTGGTTGATTAGCTCACTGGCCCTTCTACTTGTGCCAATTTTCAATTTTACAATGTAGACAGCACATAGATTGAGGTTACTCAAATTAGTAAGGAATTTGAAGAAAACCCTTTATAGATGGAATATTATTGCAGATTGTTTTATTTCCTGGTTTTCTACATTGTTTTGCTTTTTTCTGTGCATTACACTGATAAAGTTTGGCGTCAAATTCCTGTCTTTTGCAGATCCAGCAGTCAACCTATTTACTTCAGGACCTTATGGTCTTATATTTGCATCTTTTGTACCCTTTTTCTTTGATATTCCAGTTTCAACACGCTTTCGTGTATTTGGTGTTCGCTTCTCAGATAAGTCTTTCATATATCTAGCCGGTCTACAGGTAAAATGTGTGCAATCAAAGTACTCCATTTAACCATATATGTTGCAGAACGTGTGCCTCAGCTGTTCTTTCTTTCTTTCCCTTGGCACTAAATCTAGATTTTGTTCTCTCTTGCAGCTTCTTTTATCATCCTGGAAACGATCAATCATACCGGGGATATTTGGAGTCATTTGTGGTTCCTTATATCATCTAAATGTCTTCTCTATCCGCAAAGCAAAGGTTATATTTCAGTCTGACTTTTGAGGTTCACTTATGATCTTACCAAAGAAAAAAGTAAAGGAAACCATGCATTTTTTTTTTCTGCGTTGTATTTCAAGATGTGGCCAATAGTTTGGGTCTGTATTCTGTTCAGACGGTAATTAATGTTTTTTCTCTCTCTGAACCCTGAGATATATAATCGTAGATTAGGCCTTGCAAATGGAAAAGAAAAGCCTGACTTTTGTGAACTGCTATTTAAAATAAATTTTCCTGAATTTAGGGGGTTCGATAAATCATGTTCTCAATGTGGCTTTTAAAGCTTCGATTTTTCAGTGTCAACTATGGAAGCTTTTCAGTAATTGGACATACTTGACTCTTGATTTTAATCAGTTACAAAGTTTGCTATACTTTCGGACAGAATCAGTTTTTTTCAACAATTTCATTGCAGTGTATTGCTTTTATTGTGCATTGTTTACATTTTTGTTTATTTATTTATTTATTTATTTATTTTTGGAGTTTCCATTGTGTTACAATCAATGGTGGATTTGTGTCTACATGTGTTCCTGCACGTGTACATGTGTCTGTATGAACGCATGTTGATCACACCATTCTGAGGGATATGAATTTGGTCATGCATGTACTTTTGCCTTCATATTTCTCTCTTACATTTACATACGTTAACACTTCAACGGTTATCGGGTCAATAGTTGCTTATTTTGCAGAACACATTTGTATTTATTCATGTGCATGTCTTCTCATTTCACAGTTCCCAGAAGTCATTGCCTCTTTCTTTTCAAGGATTTCTTGGCCATCAATGAGGACTCCACCAGCAGCACCATCTAGAAATGTTGTGGGAAATGCACCACCATTCACAGCTCGGCAAGTAGAGGCAAGCATTCTTCTGTTTTCAATATTGTAGATACATGTTAGAAGGGGACTTAATATATATTCTCAGTTTATCTAAAGAAAGAGTCTATTTTCCATGAAAGACAAAGGCTTTCTAATCATAAAATACTTTCGCGGGAACATGTTTGCTAAAAGTGGCACCACAATGCACAGGACTAAAGCTGATCAAAATAGAATGCAGGTTTAGTCAAACTGGGATAGGGACCAGGTTGTTGCCCAGGAGTGAGTTAGATTACAGTTCATGAGTAGAGGTATATATAAAGGAAAATAGGGCAACTTTTATGAACCCGCTAAAAAGGGGGTGTGGAAATCACCTCCCTATATAAAACTTGGTAGGGCAACTTTTGTGGACCCTATTATATGGAATGTTGTGCAAGGCATGTATGTTTAAGATGGACTGGCAGTCGTAAGAATTAGGGATAAAAGAGTTTGCTCCTGGTGTGGTGAGTGTGGCATTAATAAAAGAGACGATGAGAGGACTTATTTGCGATGGTTCCAATTTTGTACTGCGCTAAATGCAGAAGAGTAACTTGATCCAGAATAAGTATGAATGACAGAAGCAAAAGAAATAACATTATGACCCCCAAGTAATTTGGAAAATGATATATTCAAATTCTGTTTTGATATGTTTATTTTGTCCTTCTGGCTGAAGTCAAGGACGAGTTGTTTTTGGTAAATTTATGTTTGGTTTCTGAGGTTCATTTTTTTTGTTTGCATATGTTCTTTTTGTTTTCTAAGAAAGAAAATAAATGTGCAGAATGGTAGACTGAGGCAAATCTAAATATGATGCATGTCATTTGGTGTTGGAATATATCGGTGTGCAAATTAAGTTTTTAATTTTCAAATGAATATAGAGGAGTGCTTACATATATTCCTGAAGCTAGCCATTTAAGCTTATGCAGCACAAGTTATTTAATATATAAGCGTTTGGGTTAAGTTATGTTCTGATTTCATATTTCTATGCACGTCATCAATTTCCTCGTTTGTTTTCAGAGAAATTATCCCTCTTCCATGCTGTCTGCAACAGAGCCAACAGAGGACTCCATTGGTACTCTGGTTTCTATGGGCTTTGATAGGAACTCTGCCAGACAGGCACTAGTGCAGGCTAGAAATGACGTCAATGTAGCAACAAACATCCTTCTAGAAGCACAGGCCCGGTAATTCCCTAATTATTGTTCTGTGAAGACGGATCCAAATTTTTCACTCTTGAGGTTGGAAATTTCATCCATATCTCAGGGTGGCAAACAAATTTACCGAGGACCGGAAATAATACGCTGTCAGAAGGATGTCTGTTTTGTTTATTTTCTTTTTTATTTTATATTGTAGCTATTGCGCGCGGAGTATGTATTATTATGCCGTTTACGCAAGAGTAGGACATAGAATTGTCTGCATCATATTGGAAGGGTGCATATGTCTTAAAAAGGAAACCAGACATGTACAGTTGCAGTATATTGCGTTCGGACTGTTTTAACCACATTTTTGTGCTTTGTTTCTTTCTTTTTCCTGTTGGCCATTCCCGCGGCAACTCTCGTGCCTAACTTGTCTTAAATGTGAATGCCTTTGTAAATCTCATAACCTGAAGAATTTGAGACATCAATCCAATAACATGGATTGAGGAGCCTAAAGACAAATAACTCATCGGATTTGTGTGAACTTGCGGAAACCACACATGAAATTATAGGGACGTTACGGCAACGGTTATGGAAATAAATACATAATGGCGTATCATTATAAAATGGCAGCTAATTGCTCAAATCAGGGTTCTTATACAAACATTTTGTTCTAAAATTACGTTCCAAGGGGCGATACAGCCACCATCGTTGGCCGTCTTTGAGGGAGTTTCCAGCGCATTTTGTGAAGGGCCGACTTGTTTTGTATTGGCCACTTCTGCAGAGGTGGCTATTGGTTTGATGTCCCCATGGAAGCACAGCTTGCTGCTCTCCTACATAGAATTTACACCATCTTTGAACAAATATTTATAATACAAGAAAGCTATATGGAATTAAACGTCTTTGAAGAAGTAATATATATATATATATATATATGGAATTAAACGTCTTTGAAGAAGTAATATATATAGACACACACACACACACCCAAATCGTAACCCCTACAAACTAGCATAAAAAAATTGGAAAACTAATAAAAGGCCCCTAAAAACTGTGTTTATTCATCAGGACAAAAGATTGTTATAATACATAAAATGGGCATAAAGAAAAAATAACAAATATGGGCTCCACGGAGACAAGACACGCAGCAAGTTCACATGGCCATTATCAAAACAAAAGCAAAAGGAGACAAAGCAAAAAGAAGACAAATACAGTCCGCGTTTCAAAAATTGTGTCGACAATTTCAATAGATTCAGAAACAATGGAAGCAAAGTGACAAATCAAGAAAAAATTGACGAGCACCCAAAGAGATGCTTGTATAAAAGAGAAGCTTTCTCTCATTGTAAATACACCACACCTACATACCACATCACACCAACACGACTACCATACCTACCGACAAAGCCTTTAGCTCTCTTGGCCTTCTTGCTCCCTTTGCTTACTTCTTTGTAAACACTTCTCTTTGTAAACATTTTATACATCAATAAAAATTCCAAGTGTATATATTCAAGTGATCTCCAAGTCTTAAGTATTAAGTAAGTTTTCTTTCTTTGTTTAGTGTATTTGTTTAATTATACTTCCAGTCCAAAACAAGGAAACACTATTGTAGTTATATTATTAACCTACTAAACTGATGATCATACTTTGTTCGAGCACTTTGTTATAGCTAAATGTTTGCCATACAAATAACTGGACATTAACCAGGGTACCTCTGAGTTCAACCTTTAAAGCCTTATACTTACATTGTGAGTGGTCGTCATGCTGAAACATGTCGAGTTCCATGTGCAAGGTTTTACGTCTAGTTGTTATAATGGTTGTTCGACTATTTAACTGGGCCTTTGCTTTTCGAATTTAGTATCAAAGCTAAGTTTAGCATTTTAATAGTATAATTATAATAGTAAAGTACCTTAAGGACGGAAATTATAAACACAACTAATATCACACACTTGTTTAATTTTGTATGAACACTAGCTATTATTGTCCTTGTAGACCATATCAACAACAACCACCAGGTATTTATTGTCTTAGACAGCCAACTATAACTAGCATAGAAATAAAATTAGCATATATTCTAATAGAATTAGCAAGACTTTGAAGAAACTAAAGTTTTATCTTGATTATCTTGAACACTCTTTATTTATTAGTAAATATAAAAACATAGAAGTGCAGCATAACGTATTCGAAGCAAAAAGAGCAACAGATCATACTTTAGAGACCATGAGAGAAGAAAGAGAGTTTTTAAGAAACAATTAGCCATAATCTTAGAGAAAGAAAGATTGTAGTTTATGATAGATTATCTTAATTTAATTACTGAACCACAAAAAACAAAAATTACTTTAGAACAAGATAGTTTAGTTTGTTATTTTCCCATTAAGAAAGCATAATCATATTTTACATGGTGAAGAAAATCCACAAGCCAATAGTATTTTAAATCTTATTATTAGTCAAGCAAAAAATATACACTAGAAAATAATCAGCATAATTATTTATTAAATCAGTTGTTTGAATATTTTCAGAAAAATTTCATAAAAGCTATTAGGCAAAATCTAGATTTTATTACATCTCAGTTAGAAGATAATAATAAAAATATTTAAGGGTTTCCTAGCAAAAGAGAGATAAAAGAGCTTATTGACCTTATAGATAGTAAGTCTAAGCAAGTATAACTTAGATCATTAGAAATAGTTGAGCAATTAAAATTAGAAGTACAAAAAAATCCAATTAGTGGAAAAAGATTTGAGTGAATAAGTAGATAAGTTACATTAAAAAAAAAACAAGAAGATAGATTATCAGTTTAATGACTGGTTCTAGAAAGAAAATATATCCAAACTTTGAAAGAAATTAGTGAGTTAGATAAAAAACAAGTAGGTTAAATAGATTTTTCAGCACCAATGGCTAGTGGTAATATCCCTATTAGACAAAATAATTTAATTATCCAATTAGTTTTAAATTTAGCTGAAAATTAGATCAAGTTTTACATAACACATCTTCATCACTTCCATCATCTTTGTTACAAAAACTAGAAAATTTAACTTTAAGTACAAATAATCAAATTAGAAGACCTAAGATAAATTCTTTTGATAATAGAGGATGGAACTTTTTATAAGAAAATGAAAATAAGTAGTTAGAGCTGAAAATATTTATCCAAATGAAGAAGAAGCACAAGAATTTATTAGAAGAAGTTTTGAAAGAACACAGAAAAATAAATATAATTTGTATCAATTAGGTTTATTTGAAAATAGAAGTAGAATTGTAAGTATATCAATCAACATGAAATTAGCTGTGTTGATAAAGAAGTTACACTTAATATACTTAGCAAATAAGCAATTACTCACTTAAGAAAATCACATTGTAGTTAAATTCATATACAAAATATAGATGACGATGAGAGTGAAATTAAAAATGAGAGTATTCATATAGCTTTTAATAATTTAGATATTAATTTAGTTGAGCAAAATTTGATCATATTGTAAATAAACTCATAGAAGATATTGATAATTTAGATAATGAACAATATTTTGAAAAATATAAAACATATGATTTAGGACTACATAGAATTTCAAATGATGAAATGAAAATAATTAATTTTAGACATAGGAGTATAACATATTTTAGGAACAAAAGAATACAATAATTTAGTAGAAGTAAAAGTAGAATGTAATTCAGTAGAAGAAAGTAGTATAGTAGGACTAGACAATAATCTAGAATACACAGCTAGAACTGTCACATCCCGGCCCGGGGCGGATCACTTCCCGGGCCCGCTCCACCACCGTAGCACGATATTGTCCGCTTTGGGCTTACCATTCCCTCACGGTTTTGTTTTTTGGGAACTCACACGAGAACTTCCGATGGGTCACTCATCCTGGGATTGCTCTCGAGCACTTCTCGCTTAACTTCGGAGTTCCTACAGAACCCGAAGCCAGTGAGCTCCCAAAAGGCCTCCTGTTAGGTAGAGATGAGAATATACATATAAGGATCACTCCCCTGGGCGATGTGGGATGTCACAATCCACCCCCCTTAGGGGCCCGACGTCCACGTCGACACACACGCGACCAGGGTTAGGCTCTGATACCAAATTGTCACATCCCGGCCCAGGACGGATCACTTCCTGGGCCCTCTCCACCACCGTAGCACGATATTGTCCGCTTTGGGCTTACCATTCCCTCACGGTTTTGTTTTTGGGAACTCACACGAGAACTTCCCGATGGGTCACCCATCCTGGGATTGCTCTCGAGCACTTCTCGCTTAACTTCGGAGTTCCTACAGAACCCGAAGCCAGTGAGCTCCCAAAAGACCTCGTGTTAGGTAGAGATGGGAATATACATATAAGGATCACTCCCCTGAACGATGTGGGATGTCACAAGAACTGATCAACAATTTTTAAGAAAAACAAATGAACAATATAATGAATAAGCCAAGAGTAGAATATATAGATGAAAAAGTGATGAGACCACCTAGAAAAAATAGGATTATATATTTGAGAAGATTATGACAAATTAATATAGCAGATAATATATTAAATTTAGATAATGTAGATGTAACATCCCACATCGTCCAGGAGAGTAGATCATCTATGCCTTATACGTATATTCTCATCTCTACCTAGCACAAGGCCTTTTGGGAGCTCACTGACTTCGGGTTCCATCGGAACTTTGAAGTTAAGGGAGTAGCTCGCGAGAGCACTCCCATGATGGGTGACCCACTGGGAAGTTCTCGTGTGAGTTCTCAAAAACAAAACCGTAAGGGCGTGGTTGGGGCTCAAAGCGGATAATATCGTGATACGGTGGAGTCGAGTCCAGGATGTGGTGGGGCCCGAACCGGGATGTGACAGTAGATCCACATAATTGAGAGAAAACAATTGAAAGATGGGGAAAATGTTGCGTACATGCAGTATTAATGTTAGATTTTAGTAATTCACAAAGTATGTTAGATTATTTTGAGCATACTTTAAATGATTTAGTTTTTTATTATTTTCAATCATGGAAAGTTGAAAATCCAAATTACCATCAGGTAACTAAAGCACATCTTAATATAGATGGTTTTGTTACCTTAATAAACATGAATTTTTAGATCATAATAGACTAGATGACAGAAGTGAACAAGAACAAATAAGAGCTATTAGAAATTTAGAACAATTACAAATTTTTGATTTACAATACATATCTGAGTATACTTCAGATTTCTTTAAATATTTAGAAAGAAAAGGTATAATTAGTGTGACATCCCACATCGTCCAGGGGAGCGATCCTTAAATGTATATTCACATCCCTACCTAACACGAGGCCTTTGGGAGCTCACTGGTTTCGGGTTCCATGGGAACTCCGAAGTTAAGCGAGTAGCGCGCGAGACCATTCCCAGGATGGGTGACCC